GCCGGACTCCTGTTCCCAGGCGGTGGCCCTGGCGGAGCACTTCCTGAGGAGCCAGAAGGAAGCTGAATCAGTGACCTGGCAGGTGAGATCTTAATACTTCATTCCTGGAGTTTCTGAGATGCCACAGGATGTACCACTGCAGTTGTTCATTTGGATATGGATAGAATCAATAAATCCTAGTTAATGACAATCTCAGCTTTAGGCACTGAAAGCTGTTTCAAATAAGATCAGCTTAATAATTCCAAAACAGGAAATGTTCAGAATATTCTGTGATGGCAAATACTATAGTTGAAAAAATTACAAGTCCTAGGAACCAGGCTTCCCTAGAAGAGCAAGAAGTGTTTCCTGCCCAGAGAAGGCCCTTCCTAGCCATGAGCCTCTGTTCTCTTCCCTGTTTCAGGGGCTGCTGAAGGAGGAGTGCGAGGATTTCCTGGATGTGGAGAGAGCACCCTCGGATCCTGCAAAAGTCTACGAAGATGCCGAGCAACCTGGTGATGTATCTTTGGTGCTTGTGCGATGCTTCGCCCAGCCAGATTAAAAAGGAGGGCCTGCTCCCAAGCTAGATTACTGAAATGATTGTGCAGAGCTGAGCCGCTAGATCAGAACTGAGCTCTGGAGAATAATTTAGCTGCACCTCTGTCATGAGGAGGAAACCCTACAGGAGGCAGAGTGAGGAACCCCAAAAGGACATTCCTGACGAGCATCCTGCATGATGAGGAGGTGCAATGGGCGGTGGGACCATGTGCCTTCCAGGGTTTGGGGAAAAAGCAATTTCAGCAGAGGCACCTTTTCCCCCTGTTGAATTATGGGCTCCTTGCACCAAAATTCCTGCTTGTTTACAGTGCTTAAAGGAAATCTCTCTTACGGGAGATGAAACCATCTCCATCAATGTTTAATTTCAAGCCACTGTTAATACTTTTCTGCCCTTGATTATTTTACATCTAAACTGCTCTCTGTTTTTAAAGATGTTTCATGAATAACTTTATCAGTGAAATACTACATCTGCTCAATACTAAGCAGGAAAAGAATAATTTTCACCAGTAAAATCCTCTTCCTTTCCTTCACAGGCCTTGGGAACAATTTCCAAAGTTTGGCCAGTCCTTCACATGGTTCTGAAGATGAAGATGAGAACCACACTGGTGCGAAAGGTGTCCTGGTGAGTCTGAGTAGCAGATCTGCTCAAAGGCATGTTCACACAACAGGCACCTCTGACAGGAATGCTTCCTCTCGATACAGCTGGGCAGAAACTGATAGTGCATGACTCGCCCCAGTATATATAATCTTGTGGCCAGAGGCAACCCGTTTTCTCAAATATTTCTTCATGCTACTTTTGTTAATGTTAGTCTAGTATGGGACTCTTTTCTTCTTTTCCTCTTTCATTTACAAGTGTCTGATTACTGCGACCTGAATGTTTGCGTGTGTGATATTTTGCCTGAATTTTGCCTGAATTTTCTTCCGCAACAGCCTTTCAGAGAGAAGCGTGTCCTTCTGTCTTGCAGGAACACAAAACACTCCAAGAACAGGGTCTGTGTTTGCAGATGATTGGCCAGAGTCTGCCGCAGCCCGTCCAACAGACCATCGTTTGGCAGGTGCTGCAGGAGCACGGCGTTGCCGGAGCATCTTCCGGTAATCTTTTGCTCAAGCCGTGTAATTCTAGTAAAGAATGTCTGGTCAGATGTTGTTTTAAGAGCCGAAAAGAAAGAAATGTTCAGAAGTGTTCATGGACTTACTGGTCCTTTTTTGAACTGCAAATATGTATGTGGAATGGGCTTCCACGGGAGGTGGTTGAGGCCCCATTGGTGAGGGTGTTCAAGGATAGGCTGGACATGCACATGGTATGTCATGTCATGAGCAGAGCCGGCTGGAGCCGGGGGTCAGACTAGATGGCCCGGGAGACCCCTTCTGACTTGCTCTGTTTCTATGTTTCTATGTACCTGGGGTTGGGAGGGAAACATCACATGGGTTTTATCACTGGCCACTTACGGGATGAAAAGTGGAGGTGTGGGAAATGTTCAGAGAAGCTTTTAAAGATAGAAAAATTGGCCTTCCTTCTCTCCAGCAGAGGCTGTTTTAAAGACGTAACATTCCACAAATTCACCACAAGCCTGCCCAAGATTCCTCCAGACATGCACATGAACTGTGCCTGTTTGTGATTTCTGTAGACACATGAATTACAAGCCCTTTTGTGCCTTTTTCTAGACCCTTAAATGATTTAAACAGCTATTTTCTCAGTCTCTCAAATGAACTAAAAGCCAGTGTGTGAGTTCTTTCACAAAACATCTGTTCACCATTCCCACAAAGGAATTACAAAACCCGAACATATAATAATCCCATCTTCAAGATTTCTTTTCTTCTGCCATTCCTAAACCGAACAAGAATGTCAGCTTTACACAATAGTTAACATGCCAGGGTTTATGGCAGGGCTGGGACTGCATCCAAGAGAGCAGAGCCAGGTTTCTTCCCATGAAATGAGGGAGTCTCTTCCCTGCTTTCCCCTGGGAGGCCCGTGCAGGCCTGGACATCTCCCAGCACTGGGACACCTGTGGGACACCTGTGCCAGAATTTCCCTGCATGGAGAGGGGAATTCAGCCTGCCACTGCCCCCTTGTCCGCCATCAGGAGGACACGAGGGACACGATCCAGTTTCATCCACATTTCTTACGATCCTCACAATTATATTAAACTGTGCAGATATTGGCACTGGCTTCCTTCTTTTAAAAAGTGCTGCTACTCCTGATTTGCAATTAATGTTTTAATTTATAAAATGGCTGACATAATTGAAAAATAAGAGCCCACAGTTAGAGGAGAGGGTTGAATGGATTGTAGAAATAGAAGGAAACATCTATGCAACAGAGACACAGAAAGAAATTCCTTAAAAGGAACAGCTTATCTTAGAAAAAGGGGAAATAAAGGGGGACAAGAGGATAGCTGTGCAAAAGAAAGTGATAGGAAGAGACTTTTCTGCACGCATAATTTTAAAACCCAAGGCTTTGATACGTTCCTGAAAGAGAAGGCTATCAGTGGCGACTCGATGGCCATATGCTCCTCCTGTATCAGAAGTAGTTTGCTTGTATAAACTGTTCCCGGGAACAAGGAGAGGAGGGAGTTGTTGCACTGTTGTTGTCCTGCTTGTACGTTTCAGGTGGATGGCAGATTGGCCACTGTGTGAACACAATACTGGACTAGATGGACCCTTGCTCTGACTCTTGCAATGGTCTAAAAGTCAGGCAAACAAAATCCACAGGCATGTTGATACGAGATCCTTAGAGCACGGGAAAAATCCTTTCCTGTTTCCACAGGTGACAAGAAGGGGAGTCTGGTCAAGACAGAGGATTCCCAGAATGGAGGAAAAGAGCCAGAGGATACGCCCACACCGGGAGCTCAGGGGGAGACTGCTGAGTTGCCTGAGGAGGGGGGCAAGTCCAGAGAGGAGCAGGGACCGCAGGCGGCCGCGGGAGAGGACGAGCACCACGAGCTTAGAGAAGATCTTGCAGCTGTGATGAGCCAGTCTTCCAAAGGCCACGCAAAGGACACCACGCCTCTCTTCTCCAAGTACGGTAGAAGGTATTCCTACAGGTTGGAACCTGATATGACGGATCCAAAGCAGCATTGCGATGTATGTCCCACGTCAGAGGAAAATCTCCAGGAAAATTCATGCCTGAATCAATATTCAGTAACAGAAGGGAGTAAATCCAGATTTTCTGAGCATAGGCAGACGGGGAGTTTGAATACCCGTCAGACGAACCACACGGAAGAGAAACCTCACAACTCTAATGGATATATAAAAAGCTTTAGTCCTACAAAGTTGCTAAGGCCTAGTAAAGGGATGGAAACTGAGAGGAAACCTTATGAATGTGTTCATTGTCGGAAATGCTTCAGTCAGAGAGAACATTTGATGCATCATGAGCAAGTTCATACCGGAGAGAAAATGCATGGATATCCTGTATCTGGGGAAATGTTCGCTTTTAGACACCAGGAAATTCGTACTGGATCAAAACCGTACAAATGTACTCAGTGTGGGAGATGCTTTAGTGAGAGAAACAACTTGAGGAGACATGAGACAACTCATACCGGAGAGAAACCATACAAATGTTTTCACTGTGGGAAAAGTTTCAATCGGAGTGAAAATCTGAAAAGTCACCAGAGAATTCACTCTGGAGAGAAACCATACAAATGTTCTCAGTGTGAGAAATGCTTCAGACAAGCTGGAGATTTAAAGAAACACGAAACAATTCATACTGGTGAGAAACCCTACAAATGCCCCGAATGTGGGAAATGCTTTAGACACACTAGAAATTTGACTGTACATCAAAGAATCCATACTGGAGAGAAACCATACCAGTGCCCTGAATGTGGGAAAGGCTTCAGGCGGAGTGGAAATTTGACAGTACACCAAAGAATCCACACCGGAGAGAAACCCTACAAATGCCCTGAGTGTGGGAAAAGTTTTAGGCGGACTGAAGATTTGAAGAGCCATCAGAGAATCCACACTGGAGAGAAACCGTACAAATGTTCTCAGTGTGGGGAAAGCTTCCGGCGCAGTGGAACTCTGCTGCATCATCGGAGAATTCATACTGGAGAGAAACCCTTCCGATGCTCTCAGTGCAGAAAATGCTTCTGAGGCAGGGACAGATATGAGAAAAATGAGAGCGTTCATACAGATTTTACGAATGAATGTTCTTGTTATGAAAACTTCATCCAGAGAATGAATGTGAGGGATATGAAGGACGCATGTGAGATTCCAGGCGGAAAGGAACCATTTCGACATTTAGACCCACAGCAAGTGCCTGTGTGAAAATGTCACAAATAATTCTCGCAACTTCAGTGCCCCCCCCCCCCCGCACCTACAATGACGGGACGTGTGTGTCATCCTCAGTTTCTATTCTGTTTTTATTGTGTGCTTAATTATACTGAACAATTAGTTTTCACTCCTGGTGCAGGAAGAATTTATAAGCAATTAATAATCAAACCTCTCCGCCATAAATACAGCTTTACAGAGCATAAGTGGATTCGTAGTTCTACAGTTGTTAGAACTTGGTTACATTGCCAGGTATGCATAAATTTGCATACATTTATAAAAGCCTAAAGTTGCAATTATGGCTCATGACAAATTATGGCCCATTTGCTGACCCATTGACGCCCTCTTCAGGCAACACCGAACCAGCCATTTGGACCTAAGTATTTAACAAGCTCCCTCATTCTCCAGCTTAGATGGCACGAAAAAGGATAGGTCCCTGTCCATCTTGTCCACAAATCTATCACCCTCCTCCTCCTGTTTAAAACTTTTTTTGTGCTGTGTTTATTTTTTGATGGGGATGTGGTTAAACACGGCTGCTTTGGGAGGGGGTCCTTTCAGGATAAGCCAACCCTTCCCTGCCCCCACAGACCTTAAGAGCGAGGCTGGTGCTGCAGCTTGGGAAGCACTGTTCTGCGGGAGAGAAGCCTGGAAGGGGTGCCGTGGCTCTGATTTTATTAAAAGATGCTGTTTTCAATGTTGCGTTCAGATAGTGTGCTGTTTCTTTGTATTGCAGTTTTGCATCTTACTATCTTGTATAAATGGTTGCTATTCCAAGAATTCAGAATTCTTTATTTTGAATACAGAGTTAGTAGCATCCAGTGTTGGGGACTCGAGTCGAGTGACTCACTCTCAAGCCTGAATCAAGTTGCGGGAACGACTCGGAAGCAATGAGCAAGTGACTCAACGCAATGTGATTTCTTGCCGTTTTACTTGAGAGTCGCTCCAAGGCTCATGGCAGGATATCCTGAGCTGTTCTTGGCAGAAGGCGTCTGTGGTGGGCTGGAAGGGAGGCATGTGATGGGGAGGAGGAAGGCAAGGTTTCAGCTCTTCCTTTTTGGCACGGGGGGGTTTACAACCCACCTCCTTTTTCCTGCACTTGAGACTTCAGAAGAGACTTGAGACTCGACTCGAAAATTTCTTGCAGTGACTTGTGATTCAACCTGAGACTTGGAGTAAAGGACTTGATCACATCATCGGTAGCGTCTCTCACAGGCTGTTACTGGCATTGTGATAGCATTCCCAACAGTTACTCCCTGTAGTACAGAATTTAGAGGACTCGGAGCTGCTCTGGTTGCAGGCATTCCTCTGAAGGAACAGCTACACCAAGAGATGGGAGGGTCAGGAGCGAGGGTTTGGGATAAATAAGAAAAGGCAGCTTCTGTGCAGAATACGACCCTTCAGGTCTGCCTGTCCTGGGAATGCAGTCCTGGTTGGACCTGGGGAAAGGGAGACCCACTGAGGGTTTGGAAACTAAGCCCTGTATATTCTTTCTTTTATTCCCTACCATTCAGAACATGCGCCATCTCTCTGAAGATTTCACAGGTAGCAGATTTACTCACTGCAAAAGGAGTGCTTAGAGGGAAGTAGCTTTTGAATATTTTCTTCGTTGTTTCTGCATTACCATGTCAGAACAACAGATTATTAGATCACTTTCTAATGCAAAGAAATTAAAAATGTCCCAAGACATTCAGAAAGAAGTATGGAATTTGGTGTCATCACAAGAATTGACAGTGAAGTTGGATGTCCAATTTTGATCTTTTATTTCCTTTCCCCAGAGCCGATGTTCTCTGTTTTGATTTATCTAATGGCTTCTTAGAACTGGCTTACCTGAAAATGCTTGAAGGTTCATATTAATTTATAGTAACCTAACATTTCTGGTTTGAAAATATGTTCAAAGTTTAGACATATTGAACATGTTCTAGTGTTCAGTAATGGTAATCAGAAAGAACTGGGATTCAAGGAATATCAATTTAAGATTCAGGGTGCAATCTTACAGGTTCTGCTTCTAATAGAAAGAGGGCCCTAGTAGTAGGATTGCTCTCTTAAATAATGAGAAGTGCTTTAAAAATACAGAGTCAGCAGTGAGGTTCAGTAGCAGTATGTGCATGGAAAACTAATTTATTTATATTATATTTTATGTTATTTCATGTATGTAAGCCATCCTGAGGCTTTCGCAACAGGACGGCATTTAAATATCTTAAATAAATAAAAAACTAGGTTCATAGGAAGTGCGGTTTATTTATTTAAGGTATTTTGATAGCACTCTTTGAAAACTGGCAAGCAGTGCTCAGGATAAAATAATAATTAAAATGTAATAAAAGAATAAAAACAAGATTAAAAAGTATTTTAAAAATTTGGAAAACCCAGATTAGAAAAGACTGATTAGTAAAAGAAGATGGGGGGAAATGTGAATATGTAAATACTGCAGAAAATTGATCTGAATGACAAGAGAGTAGAATGCAAATTCAAAACAGCAGCTTGTTCCAAAAAATAAAATAAAAATCACAATAATAAACTGGTAAAACTAGCAATAAAGCATATTACAAATTAATAAATTTCACCCACCTAAAACCTCCAAAATCTAAACAGAGTTAAGGTTTAGTACATTCTGAACTACACAAAAATTTCATCTGAAGTTTGAGAACTGTGGAGGGAAGTGCTTGGGCACACTAGCTGCCTCAGTTTCTTTGCAAGATGAAGAAAGGTGGGATGTAAATGTAGATCCTACACAGGGGAAGACGTGATGTTTAATGTTTGGTTTTGCTCTTCCTTGCCAGTGCGGCGTTCAAATGCCCGAGAGGCAGCATTGCAAGCCTATCACAACGAAGACTCGGGGAATCCCACTGTAATTTTATTGCTTATATCCTGCCCTTTTTCCTTTCAAGGAGCTCAAGGTGGCTTACCTGATTCTCCTCCTCAGCTCAATTTTATCCTCACAACTAAGGTAGGTTGGGCTGAGAGGCTGTGACTGGCCCATACTCGGCCGGATGACCCCGTGGCGGAGTGGGGACTGGAACCCGGATCGCCCGAGTCCCTGTCCCGTGCTCGCAACCACTACGCCACCCTGGCTCTCGCTTTAAAGACATAAGACACAACGGAATGTGTGTTTGGGCAGAGAATTGGCTAGGGGCATGCTAGGAGCAGGCACAGGATCCCATCGTTAAGGGTGCGATCCACTGCTTGCAAGCCGGGCCCACTGTATTCCACGGGGCTTCCTCCTAGGTACAGGGCCTTGGGGTTGCCGAATGACATTACAGTCCTAAGCGCACCTCCTACTGAGTAACCTCCCTCAAGTTCAGTGGGGCTTACAGAAGAGTACGTAGAATCGCGGTCCATGAGACTGAGTGCGGCAGAAGATTTTGTGGACGGGGGGCTGCTTTATTTGATTATTTATTTATTATTTATTAAAACATTTTTATGCCGCCCCATTCGCCGAAGCCTCGGGCCGGCTTACAACACTAAGTTAAAATGATTATAATATAAATTAAAAATATAAACATTAAATTAAAAATACAAAAATACAGTGTAAAATAAGCTGCCCTGGCCAGATAAAATCCAATAGTATTAGCAGTTAAAATGTTGCTTGAATAAAAAGGTCTTCGCCTGGCGCCAAAAAACAAATAACGACGGCGCCAGGCAGACCTCTCTGGGGAGCATGTTCCATAACTTAGGCGCCACTGCAGAGAAAGCCCTCCTATTTGATTACACAAGCTATCTTTGGTTAGAAAATCATTGTTTGGACATTTCCCTCTTGCTTCTATCTGATAATATCTGTCCACTGTGGTGAATCATGATTATATGCTATCAACGCTTGCTTTATTTCATCCACCCATCTTCAATATTATTTCCCCCTTCCTCCAGTATGAGAACCTTTCCTTCAGCATTTCTATTTTTAAATGTCTTTTATTTTGCCTTTTCTGGACAGAACAAAACAGCAATTTCCAGCAGCCAATGAGACCCTAATGTTATTACAATAGTGGGCGATACCCAACGCACACAAGAACAGTTTTTCATGCAATGAGAATTTCCCTTCCTCTCTTCCCCAGCAACTCAGATTCCCACTTAGGCTTGGAAATTGGCTTTGGGGCTCTTCCAAATCTGGAGGATGCACTGCAGGGGAAAGGCAATTCAATTTATGTAAAACAGGCCTGATGTCGTGCTTGTTGTCCTATAATTTTAAAATAACCCCAGATAAAAGGAGAGGGTTGAAAGGATTCTAAAAGTAGAAAAGGAAACATTGATTCAGCAGAGGGGAAAAAGTAACAGCAGGCAAACTGAGCTACAAGCATGATGAAGAGTTCACCAGAGCATGGAAAAAATCCATTTTCTATTTTTGCAGGTGACAAGACGGAAAACAAGGTCATGATGGATAATTCTTTGTGCGAAGGAGCAGAGCCAAATTATGCCTCCTGGACAGCCCTGCACGAGACGGTTGAGTTGTATGAAGAAGAATTTGAGTCTGATGAGGGACGGAAGGTGCAGCAGGGAGAGAGTCCATGTAATGAGCTCACAGAAGATCTTGCTGCTGCGATTCAAGTTTTCCAAAGTTCACAGAAGGGACAACATGCCCATGTTCTCTAGGTATGGTAGAAGAGAGCACTACAGATCAGATCTGGATATGGTGGATACCAGGAAGGACGATGACCACAACGAGGATTATGCATGTCCCAAGTCAAAGGAAAGTCTCCATCCAAGCACATGGTTTGTTCACCCTCAACAAAAGCTAAAAGAAAGGAGTAAATCCGAACTTCCTGAGAATGTTGAAGAGGGTAATTCAGACAGACATCAGATTAATTACCCAGAAGAGGAACCTCATGATTCCAATGGGCGTGTGAACAATTCTGATCTTACAAACTCACCAAAGAGTAATCAAGGAACTCAACAAGAAAGTATTATAAATAAATGAATGCTGAGCAAGTTCATACTGAAAGACGAAGGCATAAATGTCCCCCAGTCTCGGGAAATCTCTTTCTGACCCCAGGAATGTCATTCTCAATCGAAACCATACAGATCTTTTCAAAGCGGGTGAAGCTTCTGTGAGAGAGCCAAGTAGAAAAGAGGGAAGCCATTCAAATATTCTCAATGTGAGGCATGCTTCAGGGAGAGAAAAGCTTCGAAGAAACATGAAATGTATTTATACTGGAGGGAAACCCGACAAGTGCTCTGAATGTGGGAAAATTTCCATCACATCAGTGTTTGAGGAGGCATTGGAGGATTCACACCAAAGGGAAGCCACACAAATGTTCTTAGTGTGCAGCTTTGGTAGTAAAGAAAGCCTCTGTGTCACTAGAAAAGTCATATTAGAGACATGATCCAAATGTTCTCTTTCCTAAAAAAAAATGTTTCTGAGAATGAAGAAATATAAGAATATTCTGGCTGATTTGAGTGTTCTCAGTGAGAAAAGCTGCTCGGAGTGCATATGAAGAATCATCAGAGATTCCAGGCAGAAGGGGAATGTCTGGAGCATTGAAGAGCCTTGTTTTGGACGGGTTCGTTTATAAGATGCCACTGAATTCACAGACTATAGAGACATATCAAGGCTCTAATTATGGGAAGCATTTTATTTAGAAAGGTACATTAAATTTCAGAGGGAAACGTATGATGAGAGGCTGTAGTTTCCACCAAAACCATACCTTTAAAAGCATGTAAGAAAATGCAGACAGAATAAACATTAAGAAAGAGAAGCTTCAGCTTGAATAGGAAATGAACTGATTAGGTGGCGTGATTAGCCAAAGAACAGAGAGTACTCGCAAATGAATTGATGAAGCACCTATAAA